TGTAGTTGGTAGGGGGGGGGGGCGCCTACTACTACTACTACTACTACTACTACTACTACTACTACTACCGCCACCACTACCACTACCACTACCACTACCACTACTGCTACTGCTACTGCTGCTACTACTCCTACTACTACGACGACGACTACGACTACGACTAGGACTACGACTAGGACTAGGACTACGACTACGACTACGACTACGTCTACGACGACGACGACGACGACGACGACGACGACTACTGCATGATCCTGGCCATTCCTGATCACACGCCTGTCTCCTTTTAGGTTTTTGGTTTTGCCAGCTTCCATTCCTTTTAGGGGTTGTGGGTTTGGCAGCCAGCATCTGGTCGGGAGGTGTTGGGCTTGAATCGGCCACCAACATATCCTTCTAGGGTCTCGGAGTGTGTGCGGCAAATGCTCCGTTTGTCTTGGAGACTTGGTCAGGGTCTTTCAATTGCACACTGGTCCAGAACTGTTGGTAAAGATCTCGCGAAGTATGCCGGAAATTGGCTTCCTCAGCCTTCAAAGTGGGCTGTTTGGGCGCGCATCCGCGGGCGAGTGACAGTCCACATATCACATGTGTCACATGTATATCTGGAGGTACTCGCCAGAATGCTCAATTTATGTGGGTGGCCTGGAAGGTGAGGACGAAATCTGGCCAGAACAGTATCCCGGCGAATTGAACCAGGCCTCATGGCACCAAAAACAACCTTCATATGCCATGTAAGGCTGTACGAGCATTTCAAGGAGTGCGGGGAGGCCGTTCGGATCGTCAGCTGCTGTGCGTGCTACAACTTCTGCTCTTGCCGATCAAGACATCCCAAGCAAGACTAAGGCAGGTTTACCGCAGCATGCACCGATTCCGGCTTCAGACAGGTGAAGCGAGTTTGTATCAAGATTGACAAGGCGTCTGGTGAAAGGCCTGGGCGCCAGACTTCACGCAGGTGGGTTTCTCGCCGGTGCCAGTGACAGGCTGGGCCATGCTTACGTGGACTTCGCGGAGGAGTCTCAGGCGGAGGTCCAGCACTGCCTCGCTCTGCCATCTTCCTGAGTAGCACCGAGGTTTCAGGTCCAATGTAAAGCTCAAGAGTCGGTGAGTTGCGGCGCTAGGCTAGGATCCCACATGAGGCATGCCTGCAGCTGTACCTGTATCAAGGTTTGTCAGTTGTAGCTCATGTCTCATCGCAAGACTGGGACGGGCAAATACGAGCAAAATATTCGTGACGCAGAGCCGAGGACATTGGGCGACGAGCCTGCAGCCTGCATCAGGTGTCCTGAATCATTCGTTGGAGAGCTGCCCCGTTCACCAGGGATCAGCAGGAAGCCGCCTCAGGGGCCATGTTTTGCGGCAATGCAGCGTGCTCTGCTTTGCAGCTGCCTTCTCCATGCAGGTGGGACAGGGTTTCTCAGGTTTTGCTCGGAGCTGTGATGGCTGAAGGCTCCGCCCCGAACACCGCGGCGGCCGTCGCCTTACATGCATCAAGTCATGAAGGGGTGTTTCTTTCAGGATGAGATGGAATTGAACTGTTGTCTTGTCAATTGCCCCAGGCTCTAGGCTACTATCGCAGCTCTCAGTGCTCAGTTTTGAATCAACTCCACGATGTGCCTGCTAAACTCTGCTCCAATGGCGCTGAGCACAGTGTTGCTATCATGTGCTGCCCTCTCCGCGGCAGCATATCGTGAAGGCTTCGCAAAGATCCAGCAGGACGCCGCAGCGAAGCTGAGCACAGCTGAGCGCAGCCGAGCAGAGAAGTAGAAAGCTTCCAGGAGCTCGAGCTGGAGCTCCAGGAAGAGCTGCAGCTCCGTGCCGAGCTAATGGACGCCTTCGACGCCTTCGAGGCGCTGGAAGGCCACTGCGAAACCGGGCCGGCGCAACGATGGGCCCAACGACATGGCTTTCGCCTTCTCAGGCGATGTCGCCCTTTTCGGGGATATGCGGGAAGGCCCCCGGTTAAAAACACACGACATGGAGTCAACTAGAGCACAGGATCTCTACAAAAGCTCCCAAGTCGCCAAATCGCCAGGCCGCTTCCTAAAGGCTGCACAGATGCTGGATGAGGATGAGACTTCCGTATCGATGATGCAACTGGCGTGTGCGTTTTAACTGTCAATGGTCGCAGCTCTCCCAGGTATTCAGCCGACTGAAGCTTGGCTTCTCCAGAGGCACGGTGGCGGTTTGGGCGATTGGACAGGACAAGCAGCCTAGCTGTCGTTTTCGGTTCTCAGTTCTCACATGCCATGTTTCGAAAGGGCAAAACATTGTGGTCGTGGGAGCTGGTGGGGTCGGCAAGACAGAGACGATCAAGCTGCCCATCTGCAATGGACTTGCTTGGCACAGCTGGCACGGAATCTGCCGTGGTGACTAGGCTGGCAATGGAGGACCACAACAAGTCCAAAGCGAGCTTCGATCTGCGGTCATGGTACATGAAGCAGGCAGGCTTCGGGCAGCCACTTTGCAGTGTTGGCCTGGGAAGCCCCGAAGGTTGGCATGACAAACGAGAACCGTGGCAACTACGTCAAGGGCTACGGGGAAGACGGCAGGTCAGCAGTTAAGGTGCCCTGCTATCCACCTCTCGTCTCCCCCCGACTGAATATGTCCCAAGAGCCCTGGTTTCGCAATGAGGCAGAGCAGCTAAAGCTGCTGCAGGAAGGTCGCTCGTCTGAATGCATGGAGAAGGACTGGAACCTTCGGCACGGTGAACGGACAAATCAACTGTTAAAAGTGGGCGGAGCTTGAGAGTTGTGAAAGCGGATTCACGCTGGAGTGAGATCTGCCAGAATTGAAACTTCGAGGCCAAGACAAGATCAAGGACGAGATCGGAGAGAAGAAAGCTGACATTCTGTTCTTTGATGAGGCGATCCCTCTCTGACGTTTCTTGTATGGCAGCTTTGCGGACGCAAGTTGAAGCCTCGAGGTGGACTTGGGCAACGGCTTTCTCAATCAGGATGAGCTTGACGCAATGAAGGCAGGGTGGTCTGCCGAGCAGTCATCTTCATGCTTGGATTCTGATGCTACTTTCACGCACCTGGAAGTTGCTCCTCGAGTGGGGCAACGAGCTTGCATCCGACAAGTCCAAAGTTGTGGTGCCTTGGAAGCCTTTCGCCAGTAGGAACATCACAAGGGTTCAGCTCTTCGCCCTGGAGAGACGGCAGTGAAAGAGTCATTCAGATGTCATGCATTGCACGAAGTGCTAGTAACAACAACCCAGTGTTTGCCGGAGGCTGGGTATTGAAAGGTTTCCTCGTCGAGCTGTGGCTCGAGGGTGTCACCAGAGACCAGCTGGGCTACTGGCCCGCTGGGCTTTGGGGGCACCGAGGACAAGATCCGTTTTCTCCCACCCACCACCCAACCCTGGTTATCACTCTCTTTAGGGTTTCGCCAGAGGCCACCCCGGAACGGGCTGGACGATGGGTTACCCACGGGATCCCAGTGCTCGCCTGGACGACCGCAAGCGCCCGAGTGCCCACCGCGCCAGTGTGCGCATGGGGAACCTCGGTACCGATACGCCTAAGTGCGGCGGACGGAGGGGTTGGGGTTTCAGGGTCTCCCTGGTTACCCATTTCCCTGGGGTTACCTCTTAACGGTTGTCCGGGTGTTTACCGCTTCGGCGGTGATACATAAAGAGGGACGACTACGACCCCTTTGGGGCTCTCCCCAAAGTGTACGTCCTGTGCAATGTACTTGAGGAAGAAAGAAGTAGGAGGTGAGGAGAAGACAGGGTACCCCTTAGGAAGCTCGGCAGGGTCATCGGTTCCTTGCTTGAAGTAAGAGAGGTTTGTGCCGTACGTCCTGACCCAGCTATCGGAGATATAGCCGGGTCGGGCGACCGTTTGAGCGAAGCTCACGACCAGCCACCTCGTGAAAGAAAAAGAGAGTGTGCGCCGGGCGGCTGGGTGGGGGCACTCGAACACGACGGGTCGTTCTGCGCAAAAAAATCGTAGCAAGCAGGCTTTCCGATCTACTTTCTATGTCCAGACACCATCCGAAAGCCTGGCCCTTCCAAACTTCCCAGGTGCTTCATCCTTTGGTCTCCACGCAGAGTGCAGTGCCCGAGACTGCAGCCAAGAACATTTTTCGAAAATTGTCAGGTGTGTCCGAATTTAGTAGTAGCGTGGTCACTCTGGTCACTCTGTTCGTGGATCACACCAACCCAAGTTCGACGAGACTGTAACCCAAGCGCCGTTTGAGATGACAGGAGCAACTAGACCTCGGACTTGTGGCGGCTTCGTTGTCTCTGCCTCTGTTTTGGGGCGGCCGCTGTACGCACACCGTTTCAGCGGCCATTGGGAGCTCCATGCAACATAGCAGTTTAAAGTAGGACACGGATTGTTGTGATTCAGTGCTCATCCACATTGTGTGTCCGTGTCCGTGTGAGATGTTTTTCGATACGCCCGGGCCTTGAAGTGCAGGAACTCCTTGCGATTAAAAGTCTGTCCGTTCACGGCCTTGGGCATGTGACTATGATATTTTCCTGCCATGACTTCAGCTGTCTTGAAGGACGGTGAAAGGAATTGAACATTTGGGACCAGTAGCTCTCTATTGGCCTTGTTAAGTCTTCTGCAAGAGTGTGTGTTTTGTTGTTAAGGTTTTGGGACAGCATCCTGCAAAACCTGTCTAAATTTGCTACAGAGCTCCAATCCGGAAGTGGAGCGCGTGCTGAGAACAACCATTCATCTTGAAAACTTTGGGAAAAGGCGGGATGTCAGTGTGCATTTTCTCCAGGTGCACTCGGTGCTGGCTTCGAACGGCTTCCCATCTCCAGGTGAGCCTTGCCGGATAGCCTTGGCAACTCCCAATCAATTTCCTGATGAGCAGGTAATGATACATGGATTGACTTTAGTCAGCCGTACACCGCGAACCAAGAGGCCAGTGAGCTGACTGTATGCCAAGCAAGCTTCAGCATCGTGGTTCGGTTCAGGCAGCCATGATTACTGGCATCCTTGCCGGCCGTCCCGTTGCGGAAGTCTCGAGTGTCGTGCCTCTTGCCATTGTCCGGGGGTAGGGCTTGCAAGTGACTCGAAAAGCTGAGCAGCATCCTTTCCGGAGTCTCCGCAGGGCCTTAGCTTCCTTTGAGACGTGTGCTCTGGTCTCTGAGGAGCAGGCTTCAGAGCTACTTCATGGGCATGCCGAACGCATACTTGCCTTTCCTCATTAACAAGGACGGGCGCACTGCATTCCTGCATTCTGCTTAGCAGCCCAGTCTGGGTGCTCCAGGGAGGCATTCTGAACGACCTCTCCACGATGCCGCTGGACGCAGCAGAAGAAGCCATGCGTACGACAGTGAAGCAGAAGGCCAGGAGCAACCTGCAGTGCGTGCGTGCACAGCAATGCAATGCGATGCACATCCCTGCCCATCCTCTGTCTGCCCAGCATGCTTTGCTGTTCTGGAGATTGGTGGGAAGCTGATCCAGATCAACATCGGCTTCCAGGCAGTTTGGAGGGCGGACAGTGAGGCTCAGGCTCAGCCTCGTGCATACTTTGTGCTTGGGTGCGCAGGCATCAGAGGCTGCTCGTACTGGAATCAAGCTACTGCTGGACCACCCTGATGCCAAGATCCAGGAGACCTTGCGTCACAATGCTTTGCCAAAGCCCGTAACAGGGTCTGTTAAGTCCAACTAACCCAAGTCTAGCGTCACCTGCAACTTTGGTTCGAGCACAGATGTGTTTACAAAAACTCATCTGCTGAACTCTTGCGGTCAGATATGCTTCGTTGCAGTGCCATTTCGCAGTGCAGTGCCGGGCGGAATCGCCTCCTGCCGATGCAACATCGAGTCGCGGGCAGCGAAGTTTCTGCAGGACGAAGAAGCGCGGAATGGTGGAGTGGCCGCCATGGCCTTGGAGAAGCAAGGCCTGTGCTGAAAGGTCGAAAACCTTGGCCTGGTTACGTTCTGATCTGCCAGGCACTACATATGTCGTTCCTCCCGTGATGAGGGATGCCTTCCGCGACTATTGCAAAGATGCATCGGACAAGGACAAGGCGAAGGTGAAGCCGATTTGTGAGTGAGAGTGGAAGCTAGCAGATGATGCCCCTCAATGGCTTGGAGAAGACGTAACGCTGTGCGATCGAGTCAAAAGGAGTTGCTTCAGACACACTTGACGGCCACGGTTACGGTCATGGTATGCTTGTCTGCATCGCAAAGGTGCCCCAAATTCTACTCATGGCAGAGCTGCTGCCAGGGAGCGAGAACAGCTCCTCGTGACTCGATTTTGACTTGCATGCATCGCGGCTTCGCGCTCCGCCCTGTGGTGCCGCGCTCTGTGGTGGCATCCTGCAGCCCAGGTCAATAACCTACGTTCTCAGCTCGTCCAAAGAAGACGAGTCAGACGATTTCAATTGTGTCTACAGATGGTGGCTTGAATGGCAAACAGAAACACTTCTTGGGTTCTGATTGCGCCGAGTCGAATGGGCCTGTGCCCGGCATTGAAATGCCCGGGCTGCCGTCGGCAAGGTTCAATGTGTGTCCACAGCACAGAGGGCCATACCCTGCACCTCAGAACCCAGAAAGCGTCTTGAACGCACGCCAGCATGGTGGCATCCTTTCGTGATGTCGTGGTATGGTAGTTGCATCGCATGAGAGCTTCTGCTGCATGTGCCGTCTGCAAGACAAACCGAAGGTCCGGACGACTTCGTCATCCGGCTTGATGCGACTCCTGACTCCTTGAACAGCTCGCATCAGCTCACATGTGAACAGCCATCGTACGGGATGCAGCGTGGATCTTTGACCTGCTTTCACACCGAGGATTCAGTCTGTGTGGATGCAGGCGGGATGGCTCCTAATGGCCTTTGTCCACACCTCGGTCCCAGTCAAACAGTGTCATCGACCAGCAGAGGGGAATGAATGTAGCTTCTCCACGACTGCAAGATCCGGCCTTTGCTTCGCTAAGTTTGGTGGTGGTGCATCGGTGCTGCTTGCACGATGCTGCTCGACAGCACAAGGATCCAGCGTTCAGGGACACTCTGTAAGAGTGCCATCTGTGCGCTTGCTGTCACAAGCAAGTCTGCAGTGTGGCTGTTTCTTGTCTGTCGGAAGCGGTTGTGCTGTCGGGGGCCAAGCGGCCAAGCTTGCTCTCTGAGGCTTCGTCAAGGCTGAGTCTCGTCTCTCGCACAATTGGTCGCGAAAGGCTCGTTCTCGGTCCACCCGCTAAGCCTCTGCTTCTGCAAGACGCTTATCGTGTCATGAGCAGGCAGAGACGTGGTTTTCGCCAGAGAGAGAGCATGTGTTGGAATTCATTCTTGGAGCCCTCGGCTCAGTCACATGTATTCACGGAAGCATCCTTTTTCGGTTCGCACTCACAGTCGAGATTCCTGAGTCGTGGCTGGTTCAGGTTTTAACGAGACTTGGCTTCGAGATGTACAGTGCGCGGTGAACTCTGCAGTACAGTCGATCACAGAAGTCATTGAGGCTTCAATACAAGAGCCAGATCGATTGGCAATGTTTGTCCGATTCAACCTGTCTCGAGCGTTGGTTAACGTTCTGCTTGTGTGAAAGGGTAGCAGTCTCAGGATAATATCCATTCTTGACTTTGCAGACTCCACGTGTGAGCTTGAGCAGGGCAAGCGCTACTTCGAGACTTGGCAATCACGCTGGCCCCGCAGTTGCGCAGTCAAGTTTCGTTGATAGATTAGGACGCTTGGAAACAGCCGGCTTGGTATTTGGAGAACTTGATGCTTGGAAGCACACTTCATTATCGGTCGGTGCCAAGGGCGCGGCGTGTCACGAATAGACTCTGCGAAAGGATCCAAGTTGCAAGGACTGCCTTCCTGCTGCTTTTCTCTGTGTCCTTGCGGCTCTACACAGCAGACTTGCGCCTTTCAACCTTCCCTCGCACGCGACTGGGCTGCAAAGCTGAATCCCCTACAGAGTGTGGTTGCCCCGTTAAAGCGTTGCTTTTGCGCAATTCCGACCAAGGCGGTATTTCTTCACTTCACCGCTTCTTTGGTCAGATGTCCTTGCCATGACTCCGACGCTTTTGGATCTCATCTTGCCGCAGGCGCCTGCCGTTTGAAATTCCCGCCCCGCAAGCTCGGGAGTCCTTCATCGCATCCCTGCAGTACGCCGACCTCTTCCCGAACCTCATCTGGCTGCGAATGCCTCGCATGGTAGACGCGGCGCTGCGAGCCGGACATAGTGAAGAAGGCGCAGTGAGGACGTGAAAAGGATGCGGAAATTGGAAAGTCAACAGTCTCCGAGACGTCGGCCACTTCGGGATTGAGCACTTTCGTTTTGAAGGTTTCGGTGAGCAGGTCGCTCGGGCTTCTCCATTTGGTATGTGCTTCGGCATTGGATTTTGCGCAATGTTTTTGTGGTGGCCTGTTGTTCATGAGAATGCAGGATGTATGTACGGGGGCATCCATTCTAACGAAGTGTTGGCACACCTTGGAGGCTTGGGAATTCTGGCCAAACTTCTATGGTCGAACTGGAGCACTTTGTCCTGAACTGGTCGAGTGCAGTCCTATGTGCCTGCGCCAAGAACTCTGTAGCCGAGGTTTGCTTCAGATCTCAGCTTCTCGGCAGTTGCGCTCAACTTTGATGTTCTGCATAGCTTCGGGCGCGCCGAGGTCTACCTGCTTGGTGCCATGTGGCTGGCTTGCAGCACCATCCACTTCTTGAGACCTGGCAGCATTGAAAGTGTTGCTTTTTTGGCGAAGTTAGACATGCACAGCTCAGGACCGAGCGGGAGAATGAGGAGTTCTACTGGGGAGCTGAGCCGGGCTCGGCTCCAAGATGTGCAGTGAGTGCAAAATCATGTCTCCCTTTTAGATGGTGGATCCTAATCTGATGGCAGGCTACCATCGGTATGTCTCCATCCCTTCTGGCATGTACTATGCTGCTTCGAATTGCACAGTGGCTCGTTGATAGGCTCTAGCCACCACCCCTGTCGTGCTTCCGCAGTCCGAGGCTTTGATAGACTTCCATGGCCCCTGGCCGGCACAGATTCAGGTGAAGTCCTGATGCATCCGCATGTTAGTTGGAGGACGAAGGGTGACCAGGATGCCGCTAAGATAGATGACACATGAGTAGTGACTAGTGACTTTCTTGCGCACGCGGTTGCCACCAACGGCCCGTCACTGCTTGGCACGGTCTTTCAAGGTGAGTTCCCGAATGCCGACGAGTTCTCCAGACCGCTTGGGCGGATGAACTCAATGGTGCCGCCCTGCATGTTGGTGGTCCTGTCGAAAGCATCCTGAGTGCTAAGTACCGAACCAGGTGATCTGCCTTGTGGGGACGGCCTTGCTCAGCGTTCCTGCAGGCGTTCTTGGTGCAGCCTTTCAGGCTTTTTGGCTTTCCTTTTGGTATCGTCGTGGAGTGCAATTCTGTGAAGAGAGCTTCTGTAAGGACCACATCTCCTCGAGACTGTCCCGCAGGCTTCCCCTTCGATCTGAGGATGGGGCGGGGGGGGGAGGAAAAGTCCCAGACCGGGCCCTCCGGATCCGGTGAAGCAGCACTTCAACGCCGCAAGTGCAGGAGCGTCGTCCCCCACCTTGCTCTGCTGCCTGGGGAGCATGCATGGTTGGCTTAGTGGTCGGTGGCTTGGTCACAGCTGCACACGAGTACAGGTCTTGTGAGACTTGTGATCACTTGAGGGTGCTTCCCCGCACAGTTACTATCGACTGGCAACTTTGTTTTCCTGACGCGCGTGTACCAGCAGCCTGTGCGGGAGTCAGACACTGAAGGTGGAAGACTAAGTGACCAAGTCCCGACAACAACCAGCGCAGCATTCTCATGCAACCTTTGAAGCTTTCGATGCATGAGGTCGTGCGTACGGTGCGGATGGATGGCAAGCCTCTGCGCATTGATCTCAGTCCTGGATGGTGGCCTTGTTTCGATGCGTTGTTTCCGCTTTCCACTTCCACAGGGTTGCGCCATGTCGCTACCTGGACATCATCTTTGCCTTGCCTTTTCTGGTGCCCTGCATGAGATGAGCGCAGTCGTGGATGTGGAGTATGCACCTGTGCTTGTGCAGCAGCTCAAGTTTGATAGGTGCACTGGTCGCAGCGCTTGCTTTGCGCTGCGTGCTGCAGCTGCAAGAAAAGCACTTGCTTAAAAATGTAAAGAAGCAGCGCCTTTGCAGGCACCGCAGACTTGCAGGGGCTCCGTTCTTAACCAAGGCACATTCGCGAGTACCTGCTGAGCAGCGTCCATCTCGTACGGTCCCCACGGCTTCGTCGCAGTTCTGTGAGCTACTCGTAGTGCACATCGCAGTGCCACTTGGGGGAAGTGGCTGCGCCTCAAGGCCGATCTCTTGGCGTGGTTACCATCCTATTTCCTGTGCATCTCCCTCCTGCTGCACGGCAGCTGCCAGGAGTCAGACAAAAAAGAACTCGAGTTGGCAAATTCAGAAGCTCTGGCCCTTGCGAGGAGTTTCGGGGCAGTCAGCGACAAGCTTACTACAGCAGGGAACAGCTCGCAACGGGTCATGCAATGTTAGCTTGTCCTTACAGGGTCTGATCAAAAGGATGAGATGACGGCGTGTTTCCTGAATTTGAGTTGATGGCAAGGCATTCCATGGCATGTGCATGTTCCGCTGGATCAAACTGGACAGTGTCCAAGCTGCAAGACTCCAAGACACCTGAGCTGGCAGTTTTGGCACCCTATGCCCACTCTCCACAGGCCAGACGGGGCGAGTTTCAGTTTCTATCAATGTGGACACCAGGTTTCTTTGGAGGCATGTTCGAACAACTCCGGCAAGTCCTCGCCGAGAACTATGTTATCTTCAGGACACTCAGTCCATGTGCCAGTTGCCAGACACGGTTCGTGTGCCTGTTCCAGCCCCTTGCCCGGAGAGGATCACCTTCATTCTGGCAACGGCTCTTTGGATATCAGGGTCTGTACTTATGTACTATGCCGAGCGTGACAACCCAGACGAAGGTTCCCATACTGCAAGCAGATGCACCTTTCTTGCTAGATGGGTGCTTTGCGCCGGGAGAACGTGCGAGGTACTCGGGATCACTTCCGCACCCTCCCTCTTTCGTTCTGGATGACTGGACTGGACTTCACCAGCGAAGCTCCTGTGAATGACCATTCTGCCCAGGTGCCTGTCTGCAATTCGGAAACAACAGAACCAGCGAAGTGCGTGTGCCCACAATGCAAGGGGAAGGCCGTTCACACGCTCATCATGCTGGTGGGTGTCGGCGAATCTTGGCGCAGTCATGCCATATTCGGGGCTCTGACGGCTCCATAGTGCCGCTGGCTTTGGGCACCTTAGGCGAGTGATCATTGTTACATTGTTACTGAACACCTTGAAAGCCGTTTCTTCTTCGGTTGGCAGGATATGATGTTGTTCGTGGCAATGCATCTGTAGGCAATTGCGACCACTTGAGCAAGCCTTTTGACGGCTTGTAGCCCCCCTTATGCCGACAAGGTCTTCACTGTGCCCATGGGTGTCTTTGGCGCAGCCTTCCGAGAACGCTGGAGTCTCGGAAGCACGCGCGATCATAGACAGTCTCCGCTCGACAATGCGTCAGGTCTGGATCAGATGCATGCTCAGCTTCTGATGTCCAGGCCGGGGCACCCCTTTGGCAGGTCGCATGCTGCGAGAAGAAATCTCAGTCATGCAAGCCGGTTGGAAGGCCCAATGCCCCTCGCAAGAGCACGGAAGTTCGTCGGGGTTCGGGCACCGCGGTGCTTCTTGCGCAGGCTGCAGGGCTGTACGAACGGCAGCTAGCAGCAAGACGCGTTCGTTGCTGATACTGGTTGTCAGGAGGAGTTCGACAACATGTCCGTACCTTGCCAGCAACACTCATGATTTTCCCTTCATTCACATTATGATGCCTGCGCAACGCGGTGATTATGATGCCTGCGCAACGCGGTGTTTCTGTCCGAAGCCAGAGCATCTGCCGAGGTTGTCTTCAGCACACTGGCACAGGAACGAGCGTCTGGAGTCTATCGATGCTCGGCCGATAGCTAGGACAGACCGAGTGACTAGGATGACCGTAATTGCGGAAGTAGTTTGTTTCAGCGCTGGTCACCGTGTCCACGATCATGCCGAGATCACAAAGCCTCAGATTGCAGACTTGACAGCAGCGAACATGTGGCACACTTAGACTCTGAGTGCGCTGTGTGTGCACCGAGGAGACGTTCATGACGTCGCTTGCCTTGAAGACTGGCAAGGGCGACAGATTACTTGCATCGCCGCCCACGCCTCACCACGGCTCGACTGCCAGGTGGACGACGAGAATCTCATGAGACTGCAGCCTGGATCTCGTAAATACCATTGGTACAGGCTCGCTGGCGACATGCAAAAATGGAGTCACAAGGAAGCACATGACATGACTATGTCTCAGTGTGTGCGAGTTCCTGGTGGGCTGTCCACGTCTCAGCTGTCACCTGTATCACTTGCCAGAGAAAAGGATTTTCAGCTGACCCTCTTCCCAGATGCTTCCCTCTTAAGACTAGAAAAACGGTCAAGACCAGCGGGAGGCTGCTGATGGGGAAGCGACATCCAGGCAGCTCTGCTCGTCGAATTTGTACGACAACGTTACGGGCTGGAGTGTTGCTGGTTTCGCTCACTTCTTTCAGTCGTTTCTGGTGGGGCTTAGCCGAACTAGACCGTGCTAGGCATGTTTGAAGATGACGTAAACACTGAGAAACTGAGAACATACAGCAGTTCAAATTCGGTTCAGACTGGATGTTCTCCTTGAATCTCCGAGTCGAAGTTCGGTTTGGAGCTTGCGGGAGTTACAAATTCTTCTTAAGTGTTCAGGTGGGTCAACAGGCGACCCCGGGCCTTAATGGTACAAGTATGAGAAATCAACTACTTGCAGTTAAAGGGCTTCGGGTCGACCAGGGGTCCCGACCTTAAGATTAATTCTAGCAATATTTAGGTGTGCCCCGCCCCCCCACCCCAGATTGCCATCAATGGCTGAGTTACCAGTAATTGGCTTACTGAACTGCGTTCAGCTTTCGTAGCCCTGCTCTCAAGTTCCGAAAAGTGAGCCTTCTTCATGGCTGGCACTTTTGCATGTCAAGGATTGTTGAAGTTGATGCAAGTAGGAGCTGCATATCATTGGCACATCGGATCCAGGCAACGGGGCAGGTGCAAAGTGGTGACCTAGCTGCAGCAGATCTCGAGCAAATGTCTTGGCGGCTGCAACGGGGTGCACAACCATCTAAGCATCAAAGCCAAGGCTGCAGCACGCCATCGTTGCCGTGACTGCACTTTGCTGCTTTGCCTCCTGCGTGGAGTCTGGGCTGACAGCAGCCAATCTCAGCCAGCATTTGAGACCGCAGATGCTGCCAGTAGAACCACGCTCTAAGGAAACGCTGACCTTCTTTGAGCCTCAGCAGCAGATATGCAGCAGCGCTACCGAGACTTCAACGACAACGATCGGGTCTGAACGACGAGCTCAGGATGACTGCGAAGCGACGGCGGCGGCTGCTGAAGACATGGACACAGGCGGCCAAGAGAGGGGCGGGGCCCCTCATGGCCCCCCGTGTCCGCTTTCATGATGCCTTTTAGAGCTGTGCTACACTCCGGCCTCTTCGCCGTACGCTCACAGTGCACCCCACTAATTGGATGCAGGCTTAGGACCTCCTTGGGTAGCGTCACTGCGCATGGGCGAGCGCAAGGGCGATTAGTGGAAGGCACCTGGCAAGTTGGCCTGCCTTGTGCAGATTGTACAAAGTCCGGTCAAGCTCGGCAGCCCAGTAGCGACCCCGACCTGGACGCTAATCAGGGATTCCTGTTTAACTTGGCTTATCAAGGCTTCAGTGTGAGAACGTGTTCAAGGCTGGGGCGGCGCAGGGGCGAAGCGCAAGGCGAATTTCGAGTTGAGGATTGCAGCCAAAACGAAGAACAACCCCGGGCGTGAATCGGGCACTAGCATGTAGCAGAAGCTGGAAGGTCTGGGCTTCACTCTGCGTGCTGCGAGCTGCAGCACATATAGCCACATGCTGTCAGCAGTCTCATTGCCTCTTGATCTGCACGAGTTCTATGAGCATTTGCAATTCTTGGAGGTTTTCGCGAAATTTGCAGGGTCGAGGTTGTGCGTGGGTTGGCTGCATCGCCGGGCTAGGCTCAGCTCTTTGAAAGCCACTTAGGCTGTGCCTGCTTTGCTTCCTGGCGGAGTTTGTGGCTCGGTGCTGGTCCCATCCGCAGCCTTGGAAGATGCCCGGCCTCCCAGCGCTTCGCACTGCGCTTCGCTTTTTGGTTGATTTGCTGTGGAACGCCTGCTCTCAGGTTCTTGCATCCAACGGGTGTGGCAGATCTTCTGGTCATCGCAGGCGGGCGGGCGCGGCATGCGGGGGGCATGCGTCGGCGCCTCTGACGAAATCCTCGAGCCAAGGCTCTCTTCCGATCACTTTGGCTTACTTGGGAGGCAGGCGGCCGCTTCACCAGATATTGGCTGCTTCACACAACCCTGCCGTGACCTGGAGGATTTTCCGTAAGCTACCGGCTGCGGAATTTCGCTGTAACCTTGCGCCTTTGGCGGCTCGCTGCTTTGGAGCGCTATGTGCCTGCCTTTGGCGACTTCCTGGAGGTACCAGGTCTTAGCATGTTCTGTGAGCTTAAGATGCTCTGCGGGACAGGTACTTGCCGGACGCGGGTACCAGATGCTGCAAGTCTGCTATGTGCTGACGAGCTTTTGGTTTATCTTGGCTGCGTCGTTCGATTGCATTTGCGATGCAAGCTCGGATTGTGCGGACCGTGTTCAAGGCAGTAAGTGCACATGCCTCGTGCTGCAACCTCGTTAGGTACAACTGGTACTTTCTCCATGGCGAGTTCGAAGTGAAAAGTGAAGACAAGACGTTCGCTTGCTGGTACTCGAATTTCTGGCCCCAAGCTTACATGTCTTGTGCCTTTAGACACTGTGCTGACAAGCCGCAGCTGCAGTTGAGAGTAATGTGCAACAGTCAACCCAGCGATGTGCACAGGTTTGCAATGCAATTTACGTACCTCGGCTGCCCCCTGATTAGGCAAAATGCAGGAGCGATTTGCGCGGCTGCGCATGGTTGTAGGCTTTGATTGCGATAGGCACTCTACAAGGCAAAACTGTTGAGTCATCCAAGGCTGATCCACATGAGTGGCGATTATCCAATGACTGAGTATCCTGTGAAAGTCCGACTCGTCCACGCTTGTCGCTCTTCCGCAGACTGCGTGCATGCTGTAGCACGGCGTCCCATCTACTAGCAACTGTCAGTTCTTGCGAATTCGGGTGTGCCTGGTTTTTGACTTTCTGAGACAAGAAGGACAAAAACTTTCTAGGACCTAGGAAGGGTGGTACGGTATCTCGAAGACAAGCCCTGCCCCGGTAGCTGTTGGCAACACAATCGTGAAGACCAGCTGGAACTCAACTAGCGACACTGCCCCGTGGTACAACGGATCGCGGGAGACTGGAGACACACAAGGCTCGCTGTTCTCCGCTTGGGCTTTCGTCACCATGCCGGCAGCCATGCTAACATCAGCGTCTTGGCATTGCGGGCTTAAGGCAGTAACTCTGAGTGTCGCGGTGACGTTCTCGTAGTGCTTCGCTTTGTCTGCCGCAAGTTGCACACTGAAGCAAAGGCTTTCCACGATGCCCTGGAAAAGAGGCGGATCCTGGCAGCGCAACAGCGAAACCAGGCGCATGCGAGCAACCTCGCCGTGCATACCCACAAAGGCATGAAACACCACCAGCCTTCTGAGCTTCAGGCGCTTAGCAAGATCGTCCGACTGCTCCGCCGCATCATCCTCAGGCGCCGCTTCAGGCGCTTGACAGAGAGCTTGCTGGTGCTCATTGCAACCCTTTGGGGGCGCTTTGGGTTCGGAGGGGCGTCGCGGAGCGCGCCCTGGCAGAGCACTCCAAGCAGATGACGTCTGTGGGCCTGGCCAGGAAGAAGCGCCTCTGGCTTACATGCTTGAAAACTTCTTTAAATTGTGCTGGAGCTCTATATTCCCCACGTCGCAAGGACTCCCATTACACTCCAATGCAGGCTTCTTTTTCGGAGGTTTCCCGTTCAGCCTGTGCTGCTCATCAGCCGAGGTATCCTCGCTCCTTGGTTGCCTTTCTAGCGATCTGGACTTGCGCAATGCACCTGCATGTAGTGTCCCCGAGCTTTCAACCAGTCCTAACTTGCACCAGCTGCCGATGCATTGCCAGGCTTGGCATGGTTGTTGATGTTTCTGCACTCCGATGAGACACCTGCCTCAAGTTCAGGGTAATTCTGCAGCAGGCGAGAGTCACCGGAAGCTGCAGCCGGGCTTTTGTAGGATCTCACACAGGAAGGCTGGTTTGCTGCGCTGTCGCGGAGGCATGCTCGAGAAGTTGCCGCGCGTTAGTTTGAAACCCGTCTGCCAAGGAGATATCTTTTCGTGGCGTGCTTATCACATTGGTGCCGGTACGAAGTCGAGTTGTACAAAGCTTCATGTCGAAATTGTTGATGATAACGAGGTGTTGGGAACAGCGACTGTCGCGACCTGGCTGCGGAGAAGACAATACTATTGAATAACGATGGTAAGGGCCCGTCATGGACGGGCAAACTCCGCTTGGAACCCCCTCAGCGATGTGAAAGCTAGCTCAAGGCTGCAATCTTGCCGCACTTGTCCTTCAGTGTGACGTGTGCAACTGATTCATGCAGTGTGCAACGACCCCGTTTTTAGAACCCGATTCCGACACTGTCTCCGAGCAGCCTACAAGCTCAGGGAAGCGTGCCCTGTGAGTTGCCTTGGATTGCTCCCTGTTTCCCTGTCGACGAGCTAAGAGTTTTATGTTAGATGGCATGCATGCTGCAGCTCAGTTCCATGTCGGTGCGGCCACTCTGCGCACTATCCCACAACTTCAGCCGGAGGCGACAAGCAGTCGGGTTGTGTGTTACACCGGCAGATTCCCAACGCAGATGATTGCAGGGCCCGGAGTTGTTGGAAGCCTACCGGTTCAGCGGCCCTGTAGCTTATGAGAAATCGCCAGGCTCCGCGATGCCCTGCATATGCAGCACAGACACAGGAGTGTCGAAACAGAGTCAAATTGTCATGACTGTGAGCAGATGGCCACATCCGTGTGCACAAGGGCGCCAAGCGGGAAGTGAGTCAGGAAAGAGAGGGAGCAAAGTCGGCAGTTCTTCGGAGGAATCGGCCACGTAGGAGAAGCATCCCATAGCTGTCGGAGAAATTGTCGCGCTCCTGCCGTGGCAAAGAGATAGGAAGAGTATGCAGAGGAGTCACAGACACAGAGGACTTCGATAGCCCTGCCGGAATTTTATCGTTACTACTTTTCTGGACAGGCGATGACGTGGGATATTATCATGCTGCCCTTCATCCTGTTCTTTGCGCTGAACCTCTTGGGTGACGTGGATGAAGCGAAGCATCGACATTCAAACACGCAGCTGTTCCTTCAGAGGTCGCGGGTGCACGGCCTTCATGAACCCCAGCTACCGCTGCTCCGCGCTCTTCTTCGTCTCAAGTCCCATCCTGAGTTGCAAACGGCATGGACATTCGCTGTCATCGTAGTTACGGTCTTTCGGTTTGGAGGCGTGAAGGTTTTCACCGAAAGGTTGAAGTCCCGAAGCCCAAGAGCCAAGAAAATCTCAGTGGGCGGCCCGTTCTCCTTTGACCTCCTGTCCCCGGCCACACTCCGCCCGAGACAGGTCAAGGAATCATCCGAAAAAACCCTGTGCTGATGGGGTCCAATCCAGTCCCGCCGATTTGGCAGTATTTTTTGTGGGCGTACATGTCACAACAGAAAAGCTTGGCTTCGAAGGAACGGCGTGGTCATGTTGACAAGGATTCAGTGCGCCGTTGGGCAGTCGGTCTGAAATGCGATGCAGTTTTGAATTTCACAAGCCAGGTCTTAGAGAGCGGCACGACGTGGTTCTTGCAAGACATGGCGCGTGTAACGGTGTCTGCTTGCATTCGGCCGAGAGCCCCGAGGCTATCAGCGCATTCTGCAGCTTGTGGCTTTCTGCCTCTACTTCTACCACCTCGATACTCGACTTACAGCTCGCCTGGGAGCTTTTCCGGATTGAAGCAGAGTGTCGAACAGCCGAGGCCAAGCCAGGTGACGAACGACGGCACCTGGCGCTGCACTAGTGAATCCTGCTTCGGGCATGTCTGCATGTCCTTGAGCTGAGGCTGAAGCGGGCTTGTGCAGCTCAAGTGAGCTTCATCGTGAACTTTGGGCACCCTGACCGCAAGCGTTTAGAAGAGAGCCGATTTCTAAAGATTGCGAGTGTAAGCTGAAGTTTGTCATTTGGAGCCGTGCCTTTTCAGGCAAATTCTGGGCACCAGCGCATTGCTGAACCTGGTATGGGCCGAAGCTGAGCTCCCAGAAGGTCAAGCATCGCATGAGCTGCCATTCCATGTCGACTGTGGTCCCCTATGGGCTTCGCTGAGATTCGGGAGTCCGTAATCGTGATGAGCTTCGCGCGAGACCCAGCTGTGATCACACACTGCAGCATCATGCTCACGCTGGGCTGTTAGTGAAAGGGTTCCGTGTGTTGTTTGTATGAGCCAATCGACAAGCATTTCGCAGCTGGAGCAGCTCGTGCAGGATGTTAGACACAACCTCAGATCGGCAGCCTCCGCTGGGTACCTGCTGGTATGATTTTTCTAAGCACCACTAGGCGTCTCGAACTCCACTGTCGAGTCGTTTGCATTCGGTCAAGATGACCCGGGGCCAAAGTTGCCTCAGATGTGCCATGCTCTGGGGACGACCCCTGATGGGAGTCGCCGGAGCCATGCCACGGGTCCGAGGAGACTGCTTGAAAGCCAAGAGATGACACAGTTGATGCTCGTTTCACATCCAGTTTCTTCAGGACCCCTCGTTGCGAAGGAAGCTGTGCGGATGTTGTCGCCTACAATGCAGCTCTGAGCCGAGATTCATAGAAATCGTCGCGGTGATGTGAACCCTGGTGAGTTTGATTCGATTCAACAGCTTGAACGGCACCCAGGCCATCAAAGCTTGTGCCAAGTCGGCATCGTGGACGAAAGCTCTTCGTCTGCTCTCCACTCTCAAGACGACACCTGGAGAGATTTATAGAGTTCTCCATGCTGTGCAAACGATGTCAAGAGCTGTGGCGAAATTCCAACATGAAGGCGACCATGAAGACCCACCACGTGACTTCATCTGACTTGCCCCAAGCCCTGACAGACTAGCAACCGACTGCCCAAAAAATGACTGGTTTTGGGCTGGTCTGATGTAGGCTGAGGACCCTGCTTCAAGACACACTTTGTCCAAAAACAGCAGCCCAGTAGAGTCCTCATGAGGTAATGGGCTAGGCCAGGGCCGGCTAGGGCAAGGAGCCTTCTGCAGGACGCACACGTTCCGCCCAACGATCATCAGCTACAACTCGGCCATCAGCAGCATGGAGAAGGGCCTGGGGCCCGGCCTGGGCTTCCCTCCCTTCGGTGCTCAAGGCTTTGCTGTTAAGCCGAGGTCCTTCCCAAGTTGTCGCAATGCGATTAACATCTAGCCACGGGGAGATGTTCAGGGTGGGACCACATTCTCCTGATGCTGTGTCTTACGTTGGATCGATTGTCAGGGTGTGGGGTGGCTGCGGCTCTTTGCGTTGGCTGTCCAAAACTGTCTCGGTGAGGAAGTTATCCATATCGTCTGTGCGACTGCGGCTTCATCCGCAGCATTCGTCGCATGACATCAAATCTAGACCTCCGCTCGAACGAAACAAGCAGGCGGAGCCCTTCTTCCAACATTTGCAGCACGTCGTCATCGGATCGTCGTCCACTCCGCTCTCAGTTGAGTGGCTCCCAGCGAGTCATTCTTTAGGATCGGCCAGTTCCTGTGCAGCGCAGCCATGGCCTTTGAAGCTGATAAGGCCTCTGCAGCTGACGTCCTGAGAGAATGCTTCGGCCAGGGTGGTGACTTCACCATAACGGTGGAAGAATGCGCTGGGGAAGACTCTGGCGAGGATGGGGCGATCACAAGTCGGTCTGAGTTCAGAGTCTGGTCCGTCCTGCTCGCGAAATGGTCCAAAGTCTTTGATAAAATGATCAACTCCAACTCCTTTGCAGAGTCTGCGCAAGCCCAAATGGTCATCAAAGATTTTTCTGCTGCTGCCGTGGAGACATTCTTGCGTTTCCTCTATTCTGGAGTCGTAGAAGGCAGCATCCCAACTCTGGTGGAGGTTGGCACACTCGCAGACAAGTATCAAGTGGACAAGCTATCGGCACTCTGCTTTCGGGCCGTCCAAAATAAGCTTCAGCCGGAAGTGGCGTGTGAGCTTTTTGCATGTGCAGACCGCTTCCAGGTCGCGGATCTGAGGCGCCAGGCGCTGGAGCAGATCCTGATCTACCCCAAAGAGGCACTGAGAACTCGTCCAGTGCTCAATCCTCGCCTGTTGAACGAGGTTCTGGACTCCCCGCTGCTATGCATTGAAGATGCAGACCTGATGAGTATACTGCAAGGTTGGGGCAAGCGAAAGGCATCGGCAATTGAAAACGATGCCGTGCAGCCACTGATCGACAGTCGAGTGTCCAACTTGCAGAAGCGAAAGCCAGGCGAGCACAGCACGGATGTCTTGCAGACGCTGTGGAGCCGATACGCGAACAATGGGAAAACGGACACGTTCTTGGGTTACTGGGTGTCCATCATTCTCGGCACTCCCTGCATCCTTAATGGAATCTACAGATCTATTGATGAAGGGAACAGACTTGCCATGCTGCAAGGTTGTGCCGCCAATTCTCGCAACTGCTTGCCCCTGCGATTCAGCAGGGGGTGGATTGTGTGGATGCTTCCCCACCACTCGGTGTACCTCACAGGCTTCTCTTTCGCTCATGTCATCTCGAGCCTGCTGCACTTCGAAATCCTTTGTTCACGAGATGGCTGTGATTGGCACCTGGCTGTGTCATCGGAGAAGCGCGAGATCCCGGCAAAGAAATCTTTGAGCTGCAGGCAGCCTCCTCATCTGGTGAAATGGTTCAAATTGCAGGTCTTGGAAGGGGAGTTCATCAACAACTTTGGAATACACGGTATTTTGCAGACAGACTGACGCCAGACCCGTTGACAAGCGTTCACCGGCCTCCCATATCGTTCAGCATGGACCGTGACAAAGCTCACCGGCTCCGCGGGCCAGCGACACCCAAAAGAGATCTTGAAATTAACTTCACGGGAGAGTACATGTTGCGTAGCTCGGTGCACTCATCGGTCTTGCGAGTGCTTCAGCCGAGGCAATGTTTGGGCGCAGGCGGTGGCCTTGCTCGAAGACGCGCGCGCCGAACGGCTTGAGCTGCAGGCCTCTTGGCTCCAGACTCGTGTCGTCTGTCGATGTAGATAGAAATGGAAGATAATCACAGCCCTTGCTTTGCAGGTTATCACCTACAATGCCGCGATCAGCGCTTGTGAAAAAGGCAGCTCTGGGGTTCCGCAACGGTCAGTGGCAAAGGTGTGTTCGAAAATTGTTTGCGCTTCCCTCATGATACCATACTGTGCCCTCTCTGATCTCAGATGCAGCTTGCATGATCACTGCAGGACGTGCACGGTTCCTAGAGTCAGCAATGTAGACTCTGTAGAAGCAACAAGGCAGGCCCTTAGACTTATGAGCCAAAGATGCAGCAGGGCTCAGCCATGGGATGCTGGCCTAGTGCTTTTGGCAGAAATGCCTGCCAGCAGGCTCGACACGAAACTGGCTCTGTTCAATTCCACCATCAGCACATGTGAGAATGCGGGACAATGGCAAGTGGCTTTGCGCTGCATCTCCGTGTTACCTTGCCGTTCCCTGTCGGCAGATACGATAAGCCTGAATGCTGGAATCAGCGCATGTCAAAAAGGTCAGCAATGGAAACGAGCGCTCCAGCTTCTTGCCATGTCCCAGCTCCTGGCCATGTCTGACATCATCAGTGCAAGTGCAGTCACCAGCGCCTTTGCCAGGAAAGCTAAGTGGCAGCCAGCGATTCAGCTGCTTTCGACAGCATCTCAAGCCACGTTGCGTCCAAATGTGATCACATACAACGCTGCTGCCAGCGCATGCGGACGAGGGGCTCAATGGGCAGCGGCGCTCGAGATGCTGCCTGTGATGTATCATGCCGGGGTCCGGCCCACCGCCATCTCCTTCAACACGACCGTTAGTGCATGTGAGAAAGGACACGGCTGGTCCAGGGCACTGCAGGTGTGCCAGGAAATGCAAGCTAACAGATCGACATGGACGATAATCACGCTAAGCTCGCTTGTCAGCAGCTGCGAGAAGAGTCAGCAATGGCAAAAGGCGTTGGAAGTATTCTCAATGATGATTGATGCCAGCATATCACCGAATTCCACCAGCTTCAATGCTGCGATTAGTGCATGCGCGAAGGCTGGTCAATGGGTCCTGGCCATGCAGCTCTTCTGGAGCATGCCTTCCAAGGCAGTCACGCCTGACCGTGTGAGCTTCACTGCTGCCATTAGCGCCTGCGCAACAATCGGTCAATGGCAGCTCGTGTTGGGCCTTCTCTCTACGATGGAGGTGGCCCGCATCGTTCACGATGTCATAAGTAGAAACACATCCATCAGTGCCCTTGAGAAAGGAAAGCAGTGGCTGATGGCCATGCAGTCGCTTCTCAACATGGCGGCCGCCAAAGAAGAGCCTAACGTGGCTAGCCTCAGTGCAGCCATTAGTGCATGCGAGACGACCCGCCATTGGAAGCACGCATTGCAGCTCCTCTCCGACATGCCTTGCACCGGAATTCCTCCAGACATTGTCAGTTTCAATTCTGCCACTCGGGCAGCTGTTCGACAGTGGAATTGGGAGCCAGCACTTCGCGTGCTAAGAGCAATGCCTCTAGCGAAGACGCAGCCCGATGTGGTGAGCTACGACATAGCCATGAGTGCTGTGGACACAGCAGGGTCAAGTTGCCTCCTTGCGGTGCACCTGCTTTCAGAGGCTTCAGCCCAGCACCTGTGGAGATTGACCCGTCCGATGCATTCGTAAGCTAAGAACAGCAAACTGCTTCTCAGGTTTCAAGTAGCTGCCCAAGTTGCAGTTCAGGAGACTGCCGTGCGGCACGGTGTTCGCGCGAAAAGACAGTCGATCATAAAGCTTGTGTCGGCTCTGCGAAGCCCAGCGTGGTGTTGCATAATCTGTGCACAGCCAGGCTCTCAGTGGCCCCTGGCCATTGCTCTGCTGGCAGAGTTGCCGCAGGTTCGGGGGGACGGGTCTCAATTGGGATTGGTTCTTGAAGTGGGCGGCAGTTGTTTTGGATGTCCGATATCGACGGCCAAGGTCGCACTGGACCACGATGTCATCTCATTCAATGCTGCGATCAGCGCTTGCGGGCGAGGTGGATGCTTCAGCAGGCAGGGGTATTCCGCATGTCGGTCGATCTGTCGGTTTTGCCAGGTTCTCAGTGGGCTGTGGCTGCCGCACTACTTCGGCAGCTGCAGGCATCGCGGCTCTGCAGTTCCGTCACGGTTCTGGAGTTCTTCTTCCATGATGCGTGATAGGCAAAGTGCAGCCACTGAGTAATGCTCATGTGCTGTCCAGGAGACGGACATGCAGCTTACCGTTATCACTTACGGGGCCGCGATTAGTGCTGCAGAGATCCGTGCCGGAAAACTTGAGGGAATGATTGATATCCTGCTTGCTGTTGCAGACCGCGCCTGGCAGATCTAGCTTTGGAGATCCTGCGTCTATGGATAGACTTGACCTCTGATTCGAGGAAGGGTCAGCAATGGGAATGGGCCTTGAAGCTGCTGCCTGGCAACACTGGGCTGCCAATAGTAACTAACGGTGAACAGCAAATGCATCTTTGCAGCGAGGCAATATCAAACATGCTGTTTTCGGATCAGCTTCAAATTGTCCAGGCTTTCAGAGATGCTGGGGCAACGCCTTGTCGGTAACGCGCCTTAGCAGCTCGAGATGCCTAGCATAAAGGCTCTCTCTCGTTGCAGCAATGATTGGCAAGGTGATCACTTGCAGTGCAGCAATTAGTGCCTGCGAGAAGGCAGGGCGTTGGCAAGAGTCATGGTACCCTGGCATTTGTCTTGGATCGGTCGAGTTCTTCTGCAATCGTGCCAGCTTCTCCCGCCAAAAGGGTTCGCTAAGGCACTTGTTGCAAGAGATCGACGATCTCAGGATCGAGCTGGACGTGATATCGTTGATTCTCAATGCATTAGCCTTCAATGTCTTCTGGGTCGAAAGCAACCTGAGTAGGATACACGGTCGAAGTTGTCATTCTTCTGTAGATTCTGATGTCCAGTCAGTCTTTCACCTATGTCCTTCGATCGAGCTATCTGGACCAGTCAGAGCGAACTCGACAACGCTCAGGAGTGCTGTGATCAGCGCTTGTGGACGCGACTCGCAGTGGCGCCATGCGGTCGAATTGCTCGGGGACATGCAGCACCGTCACGTACAAGGCCTGTGCTGCGATCACGGTGCTTAAGATGATGGGTGTTGAGATTCTTTTGCCAGGCAACCTGGTCACATACAACAGTATGCTGAGTGGACTTGAGAAAGCTGGGCAGTGGCAGCTTGCCCTGTCGTGTCTGGCAGAGCTCCAAGACGAGCTGGAGCTCGATGCTTTTTGGCAGGCATTGTACTGGTGCCTGGCTAGCTGCCCTGTACAACGCGGCATCTCAAAGACGGGCTCTTGTAGTTAGTTTAGACCTTCAGCACGCGAACAAGGTCATAACTTACAGCGCCGTGATCAGTGCCTGCGAAAAGTGCGGGCGCTGGCAAGAAGCCTTGCTGGTTTTGGTCGACATGCAGAGGCCGGAAGCACCGGGTGTGTCCTGTGCAGTGCTGCCTACATCGTGCTAAGTCTTCTGCCTCCTTGTCTTCGCTGCTGTTGCAGACGGCGGCTAAGTGGCAACGACATCACCTACAACGCATCTATCTCCGCATGCCAGAAGGGCGGCCAGTGGCGCTTGGCCTTGCAGCGGCTCGCTTGATAAAGCCTTGCAGCTGAGCGCTCCATCGGGCGAATGCTACCTCGAAAGGCTCCTTTCTGACTTTGACATCCTGAGCCTGCAGAGGGATGTTGCTTAGCTTCCTTGGCATCAATCCGCACGCCTATCGAAGTTGCATTCCTCAGTACAACATCGCAAACTATCTACTTAGGAGATCAGTTACAGTGCTGCGATCAGTGCATGTGAATGGGGTGCCGTGGCTTATGTTAATGTGGCACATGCGCGGCAAATTTCTGGTTGAGGGCTCTGTAGCTGGTTGCGAGTCCGAGGAAAACCTGCAAGCTCGAAAAACGAAAGGGTTGGCAGTGCATAGGCATAAGCGAAACCATGGCATATAGGCAAATCCTTTGAACACCGGAGGTCCAGGACCAGGATTTGGGTCTTATTCAAATCAGCTAGAGGTGAATCCGCGTGGTTTCCAGAAACCACAGGCAGAGGAGTTGAGCTGTGGTGCGAGGCTGTAAAGGCTACAATGTGGTAGCTTCGAGAAGATTTCCGGAGGGAAAATCACGAGATTGAAGATTCAGAAATCTGGCTATTTTGAGTCAGCGAAAGTATTGCCAAACGGACACGCTTAACATGGTCAGTCAGTTCAAGTTCACGTCACGGTTGGCGTGTAAGGGCGGGCAGTCCAAGGTAGCTGGCTTCGAAAAGCTGCTGGGTAGGAGGTTCTACATAGTTCCCAAGAGTGTGGCTCCGCACTGAGAATTTTGTCGGCTCTCTTCCCAGCGTGGGGACAGGAAGTATTTGTTCTGAAGTTTCTGGAAGAGACACCGTGGACGAATTTATCCCGCGGTCCACGTAGCCCCCCGATAGTGCTGGTTTCAACTGTGCATGTGATAGACAGGCTCTGTCAGGAAGCCTCCGGTTCTTCGACGCCTAAACTTCCTTCGGATTCACAGGGAGTCCAGTTGGCAAAATAGTATTGGCATCCGTCCGTCTGTCTAGTTCACGTTTCTGGCTTTTGCCCCTTGTCACGATCGATCGGAAAATTAGGCTACCAGTGGCAGAAATCTTTGCTTCTCCTCGCGGATCTGCTGTCCTTCGGGTTCGAGACCAACATCATCACGTGCCTCTCTCATCGGACCACAGACTGAGGGCTTCGGGCCGCGAGCCATGGGCCAAGGGTGAGATATGACTGCTGGCCGTGCCGCAGGTACAACGCTGCTCTCAGCGCTTGTGCTGAAGCCAGCAGCTGGGAACAGCCGTTGCTTCTGCTGACAGACCTGCAGGACGTCCAAGCCCGGCTCCGTCTCAGTTCCGGGACCCGACAGCCCATGAGCAGGACCTGAGACTCACCGCGAACACGATCACCTGCAGCGCCGCCCAGCAGCAAAAGTCCAAGCCCAGCCCGTGGATTTCACGCACGACAGCATGTCGCCTTGATGCTCAGGTTGCCATCAGTGCATGCGAGATGACCAGCCAGTGGTCTGAAGCCATGTGGCATGGCCTACTTGTTCAAGCACGTCTCCGGCGAAATGACAGCAAAGGAAGAGTGGCTGACTTGAGCAATCCCGAGGTTCCTGCTTGAGGACTTGCAGGCTAACAGCTGCCGCAGCAACATGCTCACGTACAGCTGCTTGACATACGACAGCATTTGCGTAACGTAGGGTTCCTATCGGCTCCGTCCATCCCGTCTTTGATGTTTGCACCTTCAAGCGCAGCGAGAGCCCTGATGTGGCAGTATGTGGTTGACCCTGATATGTAAGCTTAAGTGCTTCTGAGGCTTTGCTGTGGGTGCCTGCGGATCTGCGGGTCAGGGTGACAGCCTCTTATCACTGCTGCTCGCAGTGAGGACTGAAGCACGCAGGCTTCTGCGAAAAAGCTTGCTGAGTGCCCCGGGGATCATTGAATAGCCGTGATGCTTGGTAGGTTACAAGTGATTACAAGCGCTAGCAGAACATGCAACGGCTGACTCCAACACACTACAGTACAGCGAGAGTGTGCAAGCCAGTACGCGGTTTTATCAGTTTATCCTTTATTGACCTTGTGCTTACTGGTAATTTAGCCGACGCTGGCCGAATAGCTGATTTTTGTATGGCTTTATCTGTATTCCTTGCTGGCTGCGATGATGAAATGGTGGATAACTGCGGCTGTCTTCTTGCGGCTTTTGTGCAGTTGCTGAGGTCTCCGGAACGTTCTGGGTCCTGAGTGCCACTCTCTGGTATCTGGCGGAGGCCGCACGGGCTTGGGGCTCCGAGTCCGAGGGCTCCGGCCAAAGCCAATGTGCGGCTGCAGGGTGGAGAGCAGGGCATGACGGACATGTTCTCCACCTTGCAGCACGAAGCATTCAGAACTTGTGTAAGGCAGAGGAATCGTTTCCGATCTCCATACATGAGTGTGAGCAAAGGTACTACACATGTATCTTCCTCCTGGGGGAGTGGTGCTCGTTCGATTTCTCGCCAGTGGGCGCAGGAGGGCTCTGTGGGGTCAGAGGTACAGTGGTTTTTGGTTACCAAGCATGGACGTAGTAGCACCGTCAAGCAAATCCTTGCAAGCCTTGCAGGACTGAGCATGCTCTACTCCATCGTCGGTGTTGGCTTGAATGCCATGCCCATGGCGGCTGTCCAGGATGCTCTTACGAATATGCCACTCTGTCTGAATGCCAGTACTCGTGAAGAAGAGGGAAGACAGTTTGGGCACAGAGCCAGCACTGCGCCTGAGATTCATCCGGGTCACGCAGGTAACGGGCAGCTAAGGACAGACTCAGGCGGGACTCTGTGTGGGTTGCTCCTACGCGCAACCCCAAAAGCCACATTGACAGCAAAAGGGGCTGCAGGGTCTATGCATTGTGTCTGACAGCACGGAGCCTCCCGAAAAAAGCTCTGATGTCGACACAGGTGTGTACCATCTGATGATTGAGCGGCGGAGGCTTATCCACTCGGGGAGCAGCTTGTCAAAGCTATACGTCTTGGCAGTACATGTGTAATTTGGAGATGCTTCGAAGCTTTGCTTCGCTTCTCATCGAAGGCAACCTTCGAGGCTCTGATGACTCCGATGCGCTTGAGCCTCAGAGAATCTCAGAGAGTTCTGAGAGTTCATGCATGGGCAGCCCTGCGTGGCGGTGTTGGCTCCGGGGCCCGGGCTCTGAGGCGGTGGAGCGAATACAGGCCGCGCAGAACTGAGGTGGAAATGCAGGTGATCGACAGCATAGATCAACCCATCCTCTGATGAACCGGTGCAAAGTGCGCTTCTTGCCAAGCCACGGCTGAAGCGCAAAACCTTCCCCCTTTTCGGGAGTTTGCAAGCGAGTGGTCCTGGCCGCCTGGCCCTGCTCGAGAGGGTCCAAAGAGACGACCTGGTGACCTGCGCGGGCATCTTTTCGACGACAAAAGACAGCCAGCGCAGCAAAGCCCACAAAAGAGCTGGGCCAGCAATTGCCACATTTGCCACGGCCACGTCTTCCTTTGTTTTGGCGCAGATCGCCAAAGCCCTGGACGGTTCGGAGTTTCTGGGCCGGTCCATCAAGGCCAAACTGGGGTCTTTATGTGCCTTGCCGTCTCCTACCCTCGTTAAAATCTGTGCGTGTTTCGTCGCCCTTCCCACGAGGTTGACAAGAAGAAGGCCACGAAGGGGAAGGGCGATGAGCGGCTCGGCTCAGCTAGCGATGCTAGTCTCCTAGTCTCAGTGCCAAGCCGTGTGTGTACTGCGCGTTTTGCATCCTGACAGTTTAAGGAATGGCAAAGGTTGGGGCATGTGGGGCATGATGGGTCGGAGGCCCAGTGTCGACTGATCAGCTAGAGCTAGAGTTGAGGCCGCACGTCTGCACTATGTCAGCACGCTTTTTGCTGCTGCCATGCTTATCTTTTGCATGGTCTTCCATGGAGTCCTTTTCCTTACCTGGCCATGGTAATTGCTTGCTGGTGTCAAGACTTGACATGCTGGCGCCAGATGTCGTCGGTCTGTTGCAAGGCAAGAAAGGTGGGAAAGACATGGGCAAAGGTGCGCTCATCCTTTCTAGGATTGACATTGACATACTCTAGAAGGATCAATCGCGCACAAGATCTGTCGAATCACTTACAGATTCCATGTTGACAATGTAAGTATGCCTGCCGTTTTAACCCGCTTGCCACAGGTTGGTGGGGAGGCACCTGCTGCCACGCTTGGGTTTCGCTTGGTCCGCTTGGTGAAGTGATTGGCTTTGATCTTGATCTTTCTGGCGGCTGTGCACTCCAGCCAAGCATATGCATCGCCGCAGAGTATACACAGGACTCCAGGTCGCACCAAGAGAGGGAGTTTCGATATATGTGTCAGCCAGGTTGGTGGCCCGGAGGACGGATACATAAGATGCCGGCATCGGATTGTGCCTTGTGACCTAATAGCAGAACATCTGGGCACTGTGCCTTAAAAGACCGTGCAGAGTACTTCATTGAGCCAATCGGATTCCTGCGGAAGGAAAAGGATGGAAAGGGTGGGGCCCGTACTAGGACATCGGCATCTGTTGCTCCCCGGTTGCAAGCTTGACGCCATTAGCGGTCATTGAGGCTGATGTAGCCTGTTTTGCTGCTCCGGTGCTTCAGTTGATATGGTTTCCGCACAGCAGTCAGACCAAGGAGTCTCTGCTGGGACGACTGTGACAGCAGAGCAGTGAGCCCACTCTGACTTTGTCTTGCTGCTGCAGCAGTTGTGATGTATAGATTCCAGTCCTCGATGTCGTGGCGCACCTCAAAGGAAGGATCCGCAGTGATTGCCGGTACGGTGACAGAAAGATCTCTCAAGGACAATTGCGCAGCATGTGACGGCTGTAGCTCGTGCTCCTCTGACGCACTAAATGAATTTAGATGACAAATCCTTTACTGTAATCGCTGTGACACCCTGCTGCGCTGCTCAAGTTGATGCGTAGTTCGGCATCAATTTGATTGCGCGTTTGAGTCTGCCGTGCATGCCCCAAACCCAAGCAGTTCTCAAGGTGCTTCAACTATCCTCGCGCTGGGGCTCAAGCCGCTTCGCTGTCGAATAGACGCAGTCGCCGCCGGCGAGATATGCATGCAGATGGCAATTCTCGAGTGCGAAGCTAGACTCCAGCTACCAATCAGACACCATGTTAGCAGGAGTGCATGGGTACGGAGCAAGAGCAAGAGCAACACTTTTTTTAGAACAGACGCGGAATATGGGCATGAGCGACACCAGTTGCCAAAGAGCTTGAGAGGCTCCTTTGTTTCTGCTTTGCCTGGGGACCTCTGGTTGAGGGTTCCTCAGGCGTACTTGGCTCAAGTTCTGGGTATAATCCCGAAAGAAAGCTTTGGTGCTGGAGAAACTGCCTTTCAAAGACCATTAAAGACCCTTTGGGTTCGTGAGCCGGTTCCACTCTGAGCCGGGCTCCAGGGCCCCAGCCCAATCAGAGCACCAGCACTGGGTCTGCAGTCTCATCCCTTTAGTGGGCCTGCCTATGCCTGCCTTCCACCCTAGGCCCTAGATCCTTGTGTTGCAAGACATTTTTGGCCCCAGGGAGCCGAGAGCCCATCGCATAGCTCTTAGACTGCGCGAGACGAAGTCTTGCCAGTATGGCTATGCGTTGGTTTTGGCTCCTGGCGTCCAGCTTTCAGCGGGTGCATTCTGCGAGCTGCTACAGCCCCGCCGACTTCAGCACAGAAAGCTGGCCGTTCTGCCAGGTCTTGACTGACAGTCTGTCCATGTACTTCGGCCCCGCAGGCGATGGTTGGATAGGGATGGCTGTCGGTAAGGGACTTGGAGACGGTTAGGATTGGTTACTTGGGCCCAAAGGCGACGGTGACTACATGAAGCTGGGCTTGCACGCAGAGAACCACGTCGGATGGAGTGCGTTGGCTATCGGTGGAAACGGCGGTATGAAGGGAGCTCAGCAGGTGGTCGTTCGCCAGGTTGGCAAGTTTCTAAAGAATCCCCCTGCAGTTTCCCTCGCTCCTCTAAATGAGGTGCTGTGTTATTTGTTCACATCAAAGCTGTGAAGGTTTCGGAATGGTTGCAGCTGTTCAGACTGTGCCGCAGGTGGAGGGAGCCTGGGTGGCTGAAGAGCGCTACTCCGCAGACTACGTGGAGCCACATCTACAGGAGACGCAGGAGGTGCTTCTCATATTTGCGAATGAATCTGCAGGGAGCACCTCTTGGGGAGTCTTACTCCCCACACGCTCATGCAAAGCTGGTGACAGATACGCAATGGAAGACGTAGGAATGTTCATGCACTGGGCTCTGGGCTACTCTCATACCTTCTCCTACCACAAGGAGCGGGGACAGTTCCACACCAACTTGGTCTCCGGTCCTCCGGCGCCCCCGCCAGATATGAGCTCCTTCCCTTCAGTCACGTTCACGATGCCGGACGTGCCCGTCGTGCTCGGAGAAGGCCCTGGAGCATTTAATTGCAGATCCAAGTAATTGCGTTTCCTGTTTTGGCGGCAGGTGGGAGCGATGCGATGAACCCCTACATCTGCGGTATCTTTGACCTCGCCGAGGCGTTGCCTGCAGGTCTCCTCACCACGTCCAAGCATCATGCCGCTAAGTTCGCCCCGGTGCTATCACCCGCTTCGAAAGAGTTCGTGCACCACATGATCCTCTTCGAGTGCGCAGACCAGGTTGCGGTGGACAACAACTTCACGCACAACCATGTCATCGCAAACTGTGAGCGTTGGATCCTCAGAGTTTCAGGGAATGGGATTCGCACTCTTGAAGAGGGCTGTGCATAGGCGCTGGAGTGATGAAGTGAGGGGTTCCGTGCGAGAGCTGACTTCTGCACATGCGAAGGCATGGTGCGAGGCTGCCAGACCAGCAAGTGGCCGTGGGCAGTTGGGGGAGAAGATTTGGTGCTGCCCGACAACGTAGGTGTGCCCATTGGGAATGGAGCTCGTTGGTATGCTCTGCAAGTCCATTACTATAACCCAAGCCTGGTCCCGAACGTGAGTGACAGCAGCGGAGTGCATGTCGCCCTGGCGCCCAGCCTGCGGACACACGATGCAGAGACCTTCGGTATAGTGGGTGGCGCGAGCCCGATGCAGCGCGACCCACTACCACCTGCACAAGCTGAGGTCTCCATCCCCAGCGCCGTGGTCCCAGCGCAGTGCACCAACCAGTGGAATGCAGACGAGATCACTGTCCTTGGTGTGATGCACCATGCGCACCTTGTTGGTAAGAAGCTCGCAATACATGTCAGCCGGAATGGGGAGTACATTGGCGAGATGCGTAGGGAGAAGGTCTACGACTTCAACCATCAGTCGCTGGAGAGCTCCTCGATCAAAATGCTGAAGAAAGGCGATGAGCTGACGCTGACATGCAGCTATGACACCTCCAGCAGAACGGAGCCGACGGCTTTTGGCGACTTCACCCAAGACGAGATGTGCTTGGCTTACTTCTTGCACTACCCTGCTCAAAACGCTAGGCGTTCGATCTTTTTGCGTGCCTTAGGGGAGAACCGCATTTCGCTGTGCAGTGATCCAGCGCAATCTGCCAACTCCTTTGAGCTGGTCCAGAACCCCACGCAGCTTCTCGCCGCAGCCGTCCAATCCACAGCTCCAGTCTTGACTCCTCCGGCATGCCAGCCTCGGGGGGACTTGACCTCCTCTGCCGCAAGAGATGTCCTCACCAGCATGGGAGTGGACGTCTCTGGCTTCAGCGTGGACACCTCCAGCTCAGCCTCTGGCTGCATCCGCACCTTCGCCTTCGTGGCGGTTTCTTTGGCTTCCTGGGGAGTCTTGTAACCTCGCTGCCGAAGGCAGCCGGGAACCAATTTTGCCAGACCCCAGTCTGGAACGAAAACCTGCATCGACCAGAGCCGTGGTGGCTCTAAAGTCTTGCAGGAAATCCCAACAGTTGGAGACGCAATATCCTCAATCCGCAAGTCTACTGTAATGCATAGGTGTAATGCATAGCGAAACCCAGCAGAAAAGTCGTCCTCTTTTTCTCTGACTGCTGAGAGTTTGTTGGTGTGAGCCCTTACATCATCGGGCAAAGTGTCTCGAACCGCGGGCCAGCAGTGGGCAGAGTTCCCTGGCTGCGGGCAAAGGCGGCTCTCGGGCACGAGCCTTGCTGTGAGTCAGTGACTTACATCCGAGAGGCTTGGAGCAGGTAAAGCTGTGCGCAGTGTACTGGGGTCTTGTACTTGGCTTTCTGCTTGGCCGAAGGGCGGCGACAGGGGATGCAAGATCCGACATGCCCACACACACACACACATGCAGCGCTCACGGGAAGCGAAAGCTCGGCGCGAAGACGCCGAAAGGTTACGAAGCGAAGCTGCGGCAGCAACAGTACTCGTACCAAGGAACATTGATGTGAATGTTTATATATTTATATAGAACATATATATATATAACACGTACACACACACACATATATATATATATATAAACACACACGCACACACACACACACACACGCATGCACACATGTAGAAATCAAGCCTGACTACAATCCCTACAGTCTCTGTCAGAGCATGTCAGAGCCAAGACACCCCTGCTGGCTTCTGGATAGTATCTTAGCCAGTGAGCATGGTGGTTAGGTTGCTAGGCAGCAGTGCCCAAAATCACGAAGCATCGCGTAGGGTCGACAGCATGAATCTGAATCTAGTCTGCGCGTTTGGTCACCAGAAACTGGATCATCTCATGTAGATCGGACTTGTGCATCCGATGCAGGTGCAGGAATCCCCAAGCTATTCAGCCTTTCCCCGCTGTTCACACTGCTCGCTGCCAGGATGAGCTGGTTCAGCGTTCCTTTTTGCGGCTACAGCTGCGAGTGTTGGCCCAAGTCATACTGCAGAAGGCTGATCAAGCTTATTAGCAAATGTGCGGGTTCGGACTTGAGGAACTGTCTGATGTGAACACGTTTGAGGCAAACAGAGTTTGAGACATTCGGAACTGAGTGCAGAGGCTGAAATTCGCGGGGCCTAATAGGGGGTGTCAGCCCAGGAAAGGACTGTAGCGATAAAAGTGTGCTAAAGGGGACAGTCAGGTTTTCGCCCTTCCGTGGAAACTTGCTGGCAATCGGGACTGGCCAGCCCAGTCCTCAGCTGGGTCGAGCAGTGGTTTCCTTAAACTTTGCTTTCATTTCGCGCTGTTTCTTCACGGAGCAATCCCGACTCTTCGTGCTGGAGACACGTCGCGTCAAGGTACTTCGGAATTGTTGGCAATGGCAAGCTCCATGTGCTGGACATCGCTGCACCCGGCCTTGTCCTTAGGCCTCTTGCACACTCCTAGGTTCTTCTCCATGTTCTGAGTGCTTGCAACCGACATCGTCTAATGTGCTTCATCATCGCAGCAGCACGATACTTGAACTCTACAGAAACCAGCGATGGAGCCCTTCCAGCTGTTTCTTTTCGGTGCCTGATTTGCTTGCAGATGTTCTTGACTCAGGTATTCGGGTTGGTTTACTCCAGATGTTGCAGCTAAGAAGCCGAACACTAGCTCCCAGGAGTAGAAATGATGCGACGCCTTGTGCTCTTGGAACTCAGGTGGACAGCCGGCGATGGCCTCGGCAAGGGGTCTGCACGTCTGCTGAGGGGGGCTCTGGAAGACGAAGAGAGCCGATGGACTCGGCTGCCGAGGTCTGCGAGTGGATGACGAATCAGGCGGTGTACGACGTTGCCTGGAGCGAGGCCAGGTTTCGCCCAGGTCCTGCGATTTAGGCTTTGAAGGTATAGCTTCAGGTCAGGGACCCCGATGGCGACATGCTCTGTCCTTCGTGCCGGCCATGTAGTCCCAGTAATTTTAGAGACGCCACCCTCGTTTTGGAAATGGAGTGGTTGGCTAGTTGGCTCTCAGTCAGTCGGTGCTATTGTGACACGGTGCCGGAACTTGAGCTGCACACCTATACCTGCTGATTTGGCTGGCAAACTGATCGTGCTTTAGTGCTCACGGAGCCATTGATCATTGAGATCAGCTGCGTCCTGGGCGGATGTATAGCAAAGTAAATTCCATGGCATTGTGGCGGTCTGTCGACATTGTGCAGGCCAACGAGCACGTCCTACTTACGGGGCAGGCAGATGGAACCCTGAAGCTGTTTGCACAGCCCTTAGATCCAGCAAATCCGCGAGTCGGAAATCCATACGCAGAAGCACAATGTGCCGAGGATTGGACCAACCCTCAAGGTCCCATCATGTCGCTGGAAGAGCACACAGCTGAGGCCAGAGGGGGTGTTGGTCAGCAGGTCCGCGCTGTTACGGTGCTCAGTCCTGGCTCCATTGGTCGAGGTCTACGGTGTCGACTGGAACCTCAACGAGAAGCATCTCGTCCTTGCCTTGATTTCGGGCGTCCCCAGTCGAGCTTGTCTTTGGCCCTGTCATTCAAACCATGAGGAAGGACTGCTCCCAGGTCCTAAGACTCATAGCTAAGCAGAGCTTGTAAATCGAAACAGGAGCAAAAAGAACCGGGACCACATGCTTGCAGAACTCGTGGTACCGCACGAGACATGACGACGCTGCAATCGCTGAGATTTCTTCGGCAGCCTGGGACCACTCTGTCAAAGTGTGGGATGCAATGCGCGGGGTCAGGAGCTGAGTTGTTATCCTCACGGGTCCCCAAACACCGAACTGTCGGCATTGGGAGGTCTGCCTCAGCACTTTCCGCGCGCATCAGAACCTGGCCTACGCTGCAATCTGGTCCCCGGCCAGGCAGCACAAGCAGCAAAAGGGCAGAAACCTGACATAGCTGCAGCGTTCAAGATGACCGTGACTGATCTTTGCCACTTTGATTGTCGACCAGGCCAGCGTGCCTTGCAAGCGTTGGTGGGGATGCTATGCTCCACATCCAGGTGCGGGAAGTGTCGAATAATGTCAGGGCCTGCCGTAACCACTTCCCATAACAGGATCTCAATGCGGGCGAGATGCCCGTACAGAGCATTCAGGCCTTTGTGGTAGACGTGCTGTCGCACTGCATGGGATGCTGCTGCGCATAGCGAATCTTGCAACATGCAAGACCATCTTGCAGGCTCACCAACATGAGATCCTGACGGTTGACTGGTCCATACCTCTGTTTGGCGAGTTCGCCACAGCATGCTTGGAAGGTTGCACACTCCCCATGTGCATGTCATTCTGTGGATCCAGAGCTTGCAAATGCCAAGGAACAAGTACAATGAGTTTATGGTTGTCACAGGTAGCAGCCGGCTCAGGGGTGTGTGCGAGTTATTTCACCCCCTACAGATGTCTGCTACGCTGTGCTCTAAATCCATGAGATTTAATTCCGCGCTCATAAGGTGTTGACAAGACCATCCGCACTTTTGACTTGCGCAACTTTGGCCAGCCCTTGCAGGCAATGTCTAGCTCGATATTTTATGCTTCTGTGTGCCCAGTCTCCAGCTCTTGGTGGGGCCAACATTGTTATGTATATAGTGTGCACACAGGGCTGCCAGTTTGGCTTTCTTGAACGTGAATAGCCATGTGCCGTGAGCTCTGTTGTGCTGTTGTGCAAGATTCTGCATGGGCATCAGCTGGCGGTCAAGCGAGTTGCCCCCCGAGCTGGGAAGTCTACAGTGGGTGCACTGCAATTTAACTCGACAAGTACAGATGGTCCGAGGTCAAGTGTCATCCGTACAACGAGACCCAAATCGTGGGCGGCTGAGAGTCTTTAGAGTGGTAATGAAGTCAGCAAGGTGCTCCAGGGGCCCAGGCCGAGGCCCAGGCCTACATGGATCTTTCTTCAGGTCTCCTGCTCTTACGACACGGCTGTGAATGTCTTCGACATGACCATGGGTCAAATGCAGCAGCCACAGAGAACCACAGACTGTCTGCACCGCTGCTGAGACCGAGTGATGGGGTCGCCAGCGTTTGGGCTGTGAGCCGAGGATCCAGCACTTCGACCAACACACAGAGTTCACTCTGGGGGTTGACTTGAGTCTGTTCGAGGACGCTTCTCAGTGTCGATCGTCACTTGCAGTGTCCAGAGAACATTGCATGCGATGCGCAGGAAAATGTCATTGCTTCAACTTCTTGGGTAGATCACTCAGCTGCATCCGCGGAGGTGCCACCCGATTTCTTGCTTTCGTGCTCCCGTTAACGGGGAGCCAAGCCTTGCTTCTGTACTTGTATCCGTGCTGCATCGTTGCCCTGCGGTGCGCTGATGGGGCCCTCGGCGTTCCGAGAGAAGTATGAACATGTACAGCAAACCAAAGAGGCCTTTGTGCCAGGAGTTGCTGATTCACACGGGAAAATTTGCGTGAACTCCCGAGGAACGAGGGCAACTCGAGACCTGAGGAATACACCCGAGGGCAAGCCGGGAATAGTGAGCGCACGAAGTCGAAATCAAAGGTGAAGGGCGATCACAGCATTCAAGGCCAGGCGTGCCTGGTTTGTCACCCTGAATGACTTAGGACTGCACTGCCTGCGTTTGGAATCTTACTCAAGGACCACTATGTTGCTTATGCTTGACGGGCACATTCTCCCGAAAAGGTAGTAGGTCTCAGCTGAAGACCTGTTGCAGGACCGCCGCCTCCACCACCGCCGGCAATTGTACCGACCTTGACTACACTCCGAGACTGGAGATTGCAGTCCTGCTTTCCGGAAGCTTTTTCTGCAAGGTGAAGCGTGTACCTCGCCAGCCACCCGGAGTGCAGTGATGGTGTCGTGCCACGGCTCTCGGCGCGGGGAGTCTTGATTCTTTTGGTCCGGTTTAATCCTGGCCGTGCTGACCAGTCACCATGCATGATGCCACACATGGCCCCCCAAACCTGCAGCGTCTGAGCACAGCCAGTAAGTCTCACCACCCATCGTTATGTTAAAGCCGGCAGCTTGCACAGGCAAGCACAGGCTTTGTCCAACTTAGCAGAGTCCTGGCCCGGGCCTTGCACTCGCGAGTGACCTCCCGGAGCAGCGGCTGCGCAAAAAACGAGCGTTTGAAGTGCAGTGGCTGCTCGAGGCAGCGTTTCGTGTCGCCAGTGCGGCTCAAGATCCAGGGCCGAGAAGCCGAGCCGCCGCACTACTGAGCTGCCTTGGATTTACAAAGGCCGCACTCGTCACGCGCTGGATTTTCAGTCTGTTCGTCTTGCAAACTCCTTTCATGTGAGCGTGTGAGATTGCGGCGGTGTGTGCATTCAACATGTGCATTATAAATGTCTAGCAACTAGTTATACAGGTAAAGTTGCCGTTTTCTTGTTATAAGTCAAGATCATTCAATATCACTGATTACATAAATGTGTAGTTGTATCATTTTGTGTTTGTAAGAGTTGTATGTATGTATATACACACATGTACACATGCATACATACATATGCTTATACACTCACATGTATTACTGATATTGTTATTATCATTGTTATGCTGGTTATGATTATTGTTAGCAACTCTATATGATACGTACACATGTCTGATACGTCCCCAATATATATATATACATATATGTACAGGTATGTATCATATATATGTGTACACATGCATATACATGTGCACGTGCATATGTAAGTGTTTATGTATGTACGCATGTATGTACTTTCATGTGTATGTAAGTATGTACGCATGTACTATGTACGTATCTATGTATGTATGTATCAAGCATGTACTTATGTATGCATGTGTTTATGTATGTATGTATCTGCGCATCTTCGCATTTCTCTGTGTACACATACACGTAATTTTGCATGTACATACATACATACATACATACGTACATGCATACATACGTCCATAAGTACATACATACATTGCATACATCTGTATGTGTGTATATATATATGTATATAAGTACATGTATATATATATATATATAAAATATGTATGTATGCATGCATATATGGATGTATGTACGTATATATGTAAAGACATATCTACACATGCACATACGTGTAGATACATGCGCGTATATATATATATATATGTATATGTATACAATACACACACGCACATGCACATGCATGTCTGAATCTTTATATGCACATATTCGTATACACATATATACATATACCGTATGCACATGCCGATAAGAATCTACATGCATACGTACGTACGTACATATGCACACATACACACATACATGCGTACATGCATACATACATACATACATTCATACATACATACATACATACCTACACATATACACAAACATACATGTTTATGTTTATGATTATGTATACTTCTCTGTACATTTGTCCACAGATGCATGCATAGATATGTCTTTTTGTAAATCGGCATATATCTTCATCTACACCTACACAGGTGTGTGAATACGCATGTGTAGGTACGTGCAAGTATTTATGCCGACATGCTCTGGCTATCCACCTGCCAGTGCGTCGGTTTGAGTCTGGTACCTTTACCAGAACCGCTCTGCGTGACAACCATCTTTGCACGCACGTGACGTCTCACTAGCCATCGACGGTGCAGGTGGCGAGGATGGCCAGACGGCAGGCCAGGCTTCGAGTCTCTGATCGGCTTTTGTTTTCGGCCCTTTGAGTTTAATGCGAGTCGAGAAACTGACTGCGTGGGTCACCTAAATTGCAACGGTTCCTGTCTGCCCAAGTCACATACTCATAGCTTCTTCGACGCGGCGTAAGTAACAAAAATTGGATCTCTCTGCTGATGGATCCTGCTGCCCACTTCTCTTTCCGGACATTCTTGCGACCTGAGGGCGGATCGGGCCCTCAACCAGATTTCTTTGTTTATATTGCCAGCTTAGTCCACACAGTGTCCACAGGTACTGAAACGTTATCCCATCATATCCCGTCCCAACGTTCTGAGATCGCATGAGCAGCACTCCGAAGCATTCCATTGTCACGAGCTCGACCGACAGGTCAACCGTGCCGCGGTTCTGCCTCTGGCGGTGGCTGCAGTCCTTGCTTGCGTGACGAAGTTTTGCGGCTTGGCAGCGGACTTGCAAAGTTTCGGTTGAAGCAACATGGCCAGGCCGAAGTTTTGCTAAGGGCAATTGTGCGCATCAGCTGTTGACTTGCCAGAGATCTGCAGTTCCTGGGTCGGCACGGCCGGCTGCCATGCGTCGGTACGGCACACGCCAGTGGAACCATGTGGAACCCCTTGCAGCCTCGTCATCGCCGGTCGCCAACTCAAATGTTCAAACCATGTGCCGCAAATCTGCCTGTCCACCGGCAACTGAACGCGTGGAATCTCGATTTCTCAGAAAAACACAGCGGCTTCTGATGCTGCGAACGGTACGGCTAAACTCATGGTTCTGCCTCGTGTCATGGCCTAGGGGCCCAGAGCCCTGGACCATTCGTACCCATCGAAGCAGCCTGTGAGAAGTGGAAGACGCTGAAGTCTGGCCCAGTATCTGCGCTCGTATGCGGTCGTACCTTTAAGTTGTCTTCCCGATGACGGTTCTCACTGGTGCGGGGTGAACACCGGCCCTCGCTGGTGCCCAGGTGCATTCACGCTGCCGCAGCCGAGTAGCAGGCCGTTGACAAAGAGATGTCAGGTGTGTAGGATTGTCTGCCTCGTGTTGGGTGGAGCCCGGCAAAGAGTCGACGAGTTCTCCAACCACGTGTCCCCGCAGACTGTGCCTTTCAGGCGGAGCGATCGCGTGCGGCTACATGCTGAGGCTGGTTTGAAACAGAAGTTCAGGTAAGCGCCGACGAGTGATCTGATACAGCATATTTGGCCACGGTACCAGACAAGACATGATGTGGCATTTCTCGGGTCACTGAAACCCTGTCCGTCAGGGAAAATGCGTCGGCAACTGCCTACAGCCAGATGGTCCCTGCCTTTGCAGCGAATGTGTCAAGCTAACTGTGGAGCAGACGGTTGTGATCTTGGCGCTCAAAAAGACAGACAAAGACCCCGAGAGAGAGAGAGAGGGAGAAAGCCCTTCTTTGCTTGCTTCCCTGTCTCCATGCGAATTTGCCTCGGTGGTGTGTGCACGCTGTGTTCAATGTCTCCCGCACCTGTCGGGGGCGTACTTGCGTGTGGTGTAGGGGGAAACCCCTGCACCACAGCCCTGTGGAAAGAAAGAAAGACAAAGCCCGCAACAGTCGGGGGCGCACTCGCGCGCGGTGAGGGGGGGCAACCCTTCTCACCACAACCCTGGCGAAAGAAAGAAAGAGAGAAAGAGACGCAGGAAGACAGCAAGTTTGGAGCACGCGGGTGCGTTCGGATGGGAGTCAGGTGGGGTGTTGGGTCTTCTTTCCCTCTCACCAATCCAGGGGGACCTCCCAGTGCAGGGAGGTCACCTCGTAGCCAACTTCAGGTACCGCCGCGCGGTAGGGGGACCTCCAGCTGCCCCTGTTCAGCTTAGTTTAAGTGACTGGTTTTCTTTGCAGAGGAGGGAACCCAAATCTAGTTTCGCACAGACCTGCGGGGGCAGCAAGGACCTGACGCCCTCGAGGAACCAAGAAGTCGGCTGTGTGCCTGCCGCGTGGGGGGGAGCGCCCAAGGGTACGCTCCTCTGGGGCCGAGAGCAAGCAAGCACGAGAGAGACAGAGCACTCAGGTTGGTAATGTACTGTAATGCTGGAAATTGAATGGCCAAGCCATCTGACACTGACGAGGGATAACATGTCTGCGAAAGTGTACACTCATCATTTTCTCTATGGTATACTGTATGGCCTGAGCCTCCATGATGAGTTGACAGTCGCTCCACTTTGCCGTCCAAAAATTGCGGGTGGGCTTGAAGCCCTGAAGACTTGACCGTCCCCTCTGCCCGGGACAGAGCGACACAGAGACAGAGCGACAGACCGACCCACCGACCCACCTACTTGCACGCATGCAGACATACATACATGCGAATACGAACTACAGGCCTACATACTTACGCACATGCATACATACATACATACATACATACATACATACATGCATAAATCCACCCTCTCTCCCGCACTCCCTCACTCCCTCACTGACTCCCTCACTGACTCCCTCACTCCCTCAATTCCCTCCCTCCCTCACCACTCACTCCCTCCCTCACTGACTCCCTCACTCCCTCACTCCCTCCCTCGCTCACTCACTCTGTTAAATGACACTACCCAAATGAGCCCNNAATGTTCACGATGCATTTGTGAATGCAACAATGCCGAGTGGCATTGGCTCAAGACTGGACGACTGCTTGGTTGCACAAAGAAATGCTCTTGAGTGTGTGACCGGGAAAGTGATTGATCTTGCTGTAGGTTGCTCCCACTGGTAGAATTGTTCACTGAACTTTTGCATGGTAGTGGAGCACTCGGTGACTGAGACAGGGAAGTGACAAAGAATGGATTTCGGAGTGAGAGGAATTGGTGTCGAAATCAAACTGTTCCCTCCACCAACTTACCACGGTGAGTTGGACAAATGGGACGACTGGTCGTGGCAGCTGAAG